GAGATAGGGGTTCAATTTAGGGTAGATGAAAAGGTTATGTCTTTAAAATATTCTGTTGAATAGAATATTCTGAACATCACAAGTTTGTGTAATAGAAACATAACCTCATATATCAGTATAGTGCAGATAGATCATTCCTGAAAATCTGTTGATTTATTATAAACAAAAATTACTAAATATAATCAGTTCTTAAATTTGGGAGTAAATATAATTCTCCAATTATTACAAAAGAAGAAAAGATTTCATTAATGATAGTTTTTACTCTGCATTTTTCTGGGGATTTACAATGAAATATACATTTGACCCACTTTCCCATACACATATATGAATACACCATCATATATATATATATATATATATATATATATATATATATATATATATATATATATATATATATGCACAGGACACTATCTGTACATTAAAAATAAGTAAATAGAAAAACAAAAATACTTGAGGAAATAAAAAGGAAAAATATGAGAGGGAAAGATAAAATAGAGAATTAGAGAAAACTATATTCCATGCTTTTATAATTATGTCAATAGAAATATAAAGTTATTTATTTTCAAAAGGAACAAAGATTCTTTTAAAAGAATTTTAAAATGAAAATTTCATTTTTATATGAAAAGGGAAAATATTAGGAAGTGATGGCAACCAAATAACATTGTAATATTATCTTTAAGTAAAAAAAGTAACAAAAAATCATCATTTTGTATAATAATAGACCAATTAAAGCATGAAAAAATAGATATACACTGGAAATGAGCGTAAGAAAGCATTTTATTAAACTAACAAAAATTGACCTAATTCTAACAATACAATATGGTCTTAGGTTTCTCTTGGAAACATCTTGAGGAGCTCAATAACTGGATTACATTGTTGTTCTATTTCCAGATTTTGAGAAATATAAATTCTGATTTTCATAGTGTTATTATGATGTTGGTGTAAGTTCTTTATATATGTAGTTTCTCTAATATTTGAAACTTTTATGGGTACTGGACATTGTCAAAAGTTTTTCCTGCCTCTATGTACATAATCATGGGATACTTGTCTTTAAGTCTATTGATGTGGTGAATTATATGTATTGACTTTGACATTTATGTTAAACTAAATTTACATGCCTGGGATAAAAACCCACTTGATCATGGAACAACATTTTTTAAATGTGATTTTCTTGGTATATGTTTGTTAATGTTTAATTAAAGATTTTTGCATTTATTTTCACCAAGGATATTGGTCTAAAGTTTTCTTTCCTTGATTTAAGGAAATACTTTCTTTCCTTGATGTATCTTTCTTTGGTTTTGGTATCAGAGTCATACGTGCTTTTTAAGATGCGTTTGACATTTTTTTATTTCATGAACAAAAATTGAAAAGATTGGTATTATTTCTTCTTTAAGGGTCTAGTAGAACATGGTAGATGGATTCTTATACTGGAAACTTTGGGTTGAAAGTGTTAGGAAAACAATTTTAATTTTATTGTTGTCACTGATATGTTCAAAAACAAACTCTTTGTTTTGTTCATCTTTTGTATTTATTTATTCTCAATTTCTTTGATTTTGACTCTGATTTTAATTATGTTCTGTCCTCAAATGATTTGGTGTTTTTAATTTTTTTTTGGTCTTGTTTTGTTTTTATTAGACCTTCACATATAATATTAGATTGTTTACTTGGCATCTTTCTATTATTTTAATGTATAGCTCAGTGCTATGAAATTTTCTTTAGAACTTAGAACTTTCTTTAAAATGTTCCAGGGATTCTGACATGTTTTATCAGTATTCTCATTTATTTCTTGGATTTTTAAAATTTCTCCTACTATTTATTCATTACTCAAACATTTTAGAGCCTTTCTTGGCTTTTATCTCATCATTGATTTCTATCTTTATTTCATTATGACCTGATAGAATAATATTTTTTTAGCTAGTAAGAAGTTATTTGTGACCTAAAATATTATCTATTTTATAAAAACATTTCATGGTGCTGCTGAGAAGAAAGTAAATTCATTTGTTGATGGATAAAATAATCTACAGATGTCTAATCGGTCCAAATTATTAGTTTTACTTCTTAGTACTATAGAATTCTTATTTAATTTATTTTGGGTTATAAACAATTGGTAAGAGGGGCTTGGTAAGGTCATTTTTTAAAAAAAGATGGATTATGATATATTTTATTCTTAATATTGAAAAATAATTCTTGGATGTATGCAGATGTTTCATTGTTTGGGCCATATATTTCATCATTTATCTTATTGATGTCTGATTTTTCTTAAGTAGTATTAAGCACCCTTCTTTTTTATCTTCTGATTAACTTTGGCTTGAAATCTATCTTAAAATATATGAGAATAGCTAGCCATTCTTATTATAAGACTCATGTGAATGGTATGACTTCTCCCATTCTTTCACCTTCAGTCTGTTTATGTCTTGTCAGGTGAGTCTCTTTTTTTAAAAATTTAATCTGCCAATCTATGTATTTTAATTGAGTGGTTTGACCATATATTCAATGTTATTATTAAAAAAATATTTTCTAACATTTTAATTTATTGCTTGTGTTTAAATTGGATTTGATTCTCCCTTAATTGACTATTCTTCTATGATAATTACTCCCTGGTTTGGTTTCATTTCTTCTTCATGAAATATTTTATTGAATATGTTTTGTAGCACAGCCTTTCTAAATATAAATACCATTAGCCTATGTTTATCATGGAAAGATTTTGTTTCATCTTTCATCTGAAGTTTACTTTCTTTTCCTTAGTATACTTGGTTTTTTTTTTTTGTTTATTTGTTTTGTGTTGTTGTTTGTTTGTTTGTTTTTATCTTTGTATATATTATTCTTATCTCTTCTGGCTTTTGGGGGCCTAGGTTTAGAAATCAGTTAAAATCCAAATTGATTTAACTTGCAATATGACCAACCATTTATCTCTTATAGCTTTTAAAATTCTACCCTTATACTATAAGGATTTCATTATAATGTGTCTTGAATTCTAAATATATTGTGATTTTGTATATTTGAAGTTTTATATGCTCCTTATATTTAAATTTTTATTGTATTCTTATTTTGTTTTGTTTTGGGGTTTTTTTGGTATTAATTTTATTGAAAAGATTCATGTAACTCTTTTTCTTGTATTTTAAGGCCTTAATCTACTCCAATTATTCATAAATTTGTCCTCTTGATGTTATCACAGATTTCTTGAAAAAATTTATGGTCTCTTAACATTTTGAGAGACAGCTCAACATATGAATTACTATGGTTATCTAAATAGTTTCATTCGAAAGCAAAACAGAGGGGACTGTCTGGATTATAGGTTTAATTATCTACTTACAAAAAAACAAATGGGCATAATAGGTATGGAAATGCTGGCATTCCAGGATATAGTCATTTCCTAAATGGATAACTCAGGATCAATAAGGATGGAATAATTAGAGAAGAGCTTGAGTAAATCCCCTTCCCAATTAGCAACTGACCTAAGGGTTGGTCTAATGACCAGGGCTCAATTTACCTGAAAGGAGGCTTCACTGAACACAACAAGACCACTATGATAGGCCCATGTATGAGTTTGCCACAAGACAAAGGAATCAATCTGGAGGCTTGGTCAACAAGACCTTTAGTATCATCCCAGGTTAATTTTTGTGAGGTACAATTGCATTGTTGAGTCGTTTGCTTGCAAGATGTCTCCTCCAGAGTTAGTTCCTTTATCTTCTTTGTTGATAGTTCTGGGGGTTCAGGGCTCGACTTTTCTGTCAGGTACCTAGATGGGATAAGGCACTTGTTAATATAGGCAAACCCTCAACCTGTGGTTAGGTGGGGCTCTGGACTATCCCATGCATTTGTTATGAAATCCTTTTATAAGGCCATATGTAGATTGGAGGGCCCCATGTGGGGGGCCTAATGCTATTTCTGTAGAAAGTTTTGAAATTAAAAGAAAATATAAAGCAAGTAAGATTTTGTTCAAGGCATTGTGAGGGGATTTGGTATAGTTTCCCCTCCCCTCTTTTTTTGTAGAAAGGTCTTTAAAAAATTACTTGTGTGTTCTTTCTATAATGCCTTGAGCCTAATGGTTATAGGGGCTCTCAGTTAGTGTCATATATGCCAATTATTGCAAACTGCTTAAATATCTTGCTAGTATAGTTTAGCCCATTGTTAGACATTGTTAGACATTTTAACATCCATAACAACAAAACATTTTAATAAGTGTAAAATGGCATTTTTTGTGGTTTCTCTTGTGGAGACTATGGCCATTATACAGCCTGAATACGTATCAATGATTACATGAAAAAAAACATTATATATATATATATATATATATATATATATATATATATATATATATATATTCCCCCAAAAATGGTGCATAGTGTGTGACATCCATTTGTCATAAAGTATTAGATTAGATTTTAACTCTCAGGGATTCTAGCAGTTGTAAAGGGCTAATAGGAAAAAAGGGTGCATTTGTTTTCTTTTTTTGCAGTCTCTGACTGGCTGTTTGCAAGCCTTCTTACTTCTGCTTTTATGCAACTGCCATGGCTGAGGCCAGCAGAGAGACTTCAGTGGCTTGTGTCCCTATAAAATGTGTGGCCAAAATCCAGTCATCTAGTATGGCATTACATATTGGCACCTCTGCTGCTCTATGTTCCTTATTTAGTTCTTCCCAGATCAATACCTTGGTTAAGGCCTCCCTAGCTCCTTCATTATATGCCTTCTTTACTCTGTCAATAAACTGCAGCAAAGCTTCTATTTCTTTCTGCCTTAAGCCCTGTATAGAAACTGTACCTCCCCCAGCTATCAATTTCCACCAGGCTCTTAGAGCACAGAGCCACACCTGATCAAAATAATTTGATGGGCCTGTAGTTTCTACCACAGAGAAACTGTAGATTTCTTCTCCCTGCAAGTATTTAGCTGGGAGGTTGACATTTGTGATATGGCTCTGATTCCCAATACTATTCAGATTCATCATAGAAAAATGTCTGCCACTTCAAAAATGATGCAGGCCAAGAGCTGCTCCGGCTATGTCTATCAAGTTCTTAGGGTAAGTAAGTTAAAGACTGAGTGATTTGAGCATATGCTCTGTAAATAGCCCCTGGGTCCCATTCTCTTTTACTACTTTTTTTTTAACTTCTTCAGGGTACCCAATGTGTGTGGATACCAAATGGCAGGGTGTGGTAGTGTGAGGCCCATTTTGACTAAAATCTTCTATTCCCTAACTCCACTTTTTATCTCTTAACCTACATAGATCTTCAAAAGACTCTCTGGCCTCCTGGAATGGGTTTCTGGGAGATTATGGCTTGGGACATCTGGCGACCTAGTAATTTCTAAGCTGTCATAATCCCTTGCTGGCTTTGGCATTGCCTCATAAGGAGGAAGTTGCCATTGACACAGGGAAAGATATAATCTTTTCCTGTCAATAGAAGGTGCACTTGCACCATTGGTGATCACATCTTTCTACACAATGAAGGCTAGTGGTACTTTTTCTTGTCTCTCTCTGTCCTGCACCTGTTGTGCTGCTTGCTTTGAAGCAAATTTTTACCCCAAGTTTCTTGGGCCTCCTGAAGTTGCTTGCACTGAAGTAGGCTTTTGCATCTACTTGTCCCCCCCCCCTTTTTTTTTAATCTCTCACAGCTTCATCTTCCCTCAGAGTCATCATTATATGCTGTTTCAGGGCCCGCTAAACTTTACTGAATGGCTGTCACAATAGGAAATATATATGGTGTAATGGTGAAGTATACCCATGTCTCACTTCGGCTTGCCACACATTTGCCATTATCTTGTCCCATATCCTAGGATCAAAAACATCAACAGCACTAATCTAAGTGCTACTGTTTACTATAACACTCCAGAACTTCTGAGCTTTTCTCTTCTTCATGGTTAAACCTCTACTATCTAAGAGAGTAAGTAGTACTTGCAGCTGTGGATCTTTGATGGAACTCAGTAGGTTCCCCATTTCCCCTTCCTCACTGGTGTGTGAGGGGCTACACCTTTTTGTATAGGCTTACCTCAGGTCCCTGTTTGGGTACCAGCTATATGGGTGCTCTCTCATCTAATGAGGAGGTCCACAGAAAAGAGTAGAGGAGAATGTGGCTGTGGAGTCACTAATCAAGACCTCTGGAGTCAAAACAGGAGACAGGTCTGATTTTATTGCACAGTTGCTGTGTATATGCACTATGTTCCTTATTTAGTCTCAGGTAGTAGCTAAGCAGATTACAGGCAGCCACCAAACAATTTATTGCAACCAATCAAGGAGCAGGCCATAGAGCAAGCCCTGAAACTGATATATGAGAGAGAGAGAGAGAAACAATTCCTAAGTACTCCCCAGTATGATACATTTCGATTTATCAAAGTTTAAGGAGGGAAGACATAAAAGGAAAAGGTTAAGTTTTTCTTGTAGAGTTGTCTGGCCTCAATATAAAATAGACCAAAAGATTTGACCCTCTAATGGACCATTATATTATAAAAATATTTCCAGTTTCATCTGTGTTACAGCAGTGAAAACAAATGGGAGAAATTCTTTATGTTCATATGTTTATGACTCTGTATAGAATCAAGAAATATGGTAACACTGGTAATTGTTGTTATAGATAATACTCCATTGAGACTAAGAAAAAAAGAACATATTAGATGACTCTTCACTTTAGGTTTCACTGGGGAAGGGATATAAAAAATTGTGAAAACCTTTTAACCAGTTCCTTAATTATTATTGGGGCTTCCTTTTATCTCTAAACTTACTCTGTAATTAAAGCATTAGTGAAATAATTAAACTGAGAGATCCAATGAAATTAAAACAACTTCCTCATGCTGAGTTTAAAACTAAAAAGCTACATGTTCCCTGACCTTATGGTTACCTAGGAGGCTCAGAGTGGAGACTACCGGCTACTCCAGCATTTTTGCATAAATCAAATGCATCTGTATATGTATTATTCTGGCCATTTGTCCCATTTTGATACATTTTCTCTTATAAAAGTTTTCTTTGCCCCAGAGTTTCTACCTTGGAAATTTTGAAACAAAAGTTTCTTTCTTTCTTTAAAGCTTCCTTTAAATAAAACCTATTTGCTTGCCAGTTTGCCAAGTATTTGACAGAGAATGCATGAGTCACCTCATTTCTTTCCCTATATGATAATAGTATCACTTGGGAACAGTTTTGGTAACACAGCCTAAAGAACATATCATTCCCTTAATTAAAGTGAAAGGGAAATTTTGAAGTATAGCATGCCTGTGTATCAATTTCAAATAAGAAATTAAATGTTACATTTTAAGGTCCTGAAAGAGCAAAAAGAGATTAATTCCAAAACCAGTGGAAGACAGAAGTGATTAAAACAGAATTAAATTCAAGAGAATAAAAGTGATATAATGGATCAATGCAACAAAGAATTTGTTCTTTGAAGAGAAGAAAAATTGATTAACAGTCAAAGTGAACAAAATAAATAAGATAAAATTAAACATGGAACAAAATCACAGACATTTTTGAGATAGTGATAGTGAATGTTATTAAAACTTACTTTGTAATAACTTGAAAAATCCAAAATATATTGATAAATTTCCATCCCATAAATTCTATCCACAGAAAATCAATCCAATATAGAAAATTTAAAGTGACCAATGACAAATAAAATAGTGAAAGAAGTATTTAAAAGATTTCCAACAATAGAAGTAACCGGAAACAATGAATTACCATATGAATTCTACCACATTTTTAATAGAACTAATGCCAATGCTTCTCAAATTATTTTATGACACAGCAATGAGGGAAACTTTCACAATTTGTTCTATGAATCCTATATCACCCATTAACAAATGTAGTAAAGGACATACCAAGGAAAGAAAATGAGACACCAATAACCCTTACAAACATAAATGTAAGATATTCACATTCTTCATTCAAAAACATATTAAGATTTTATATCATGATAAATTTCAGCTTCACTTCAGGAAAGAAAGATCTGTTCAATGTATGCAAATTAACAACGTAGTACCTCATTTATATAAATCAAAGGAGGAAAAATTATGTGATTATATCTATTAGAATAAAAATTGAAAAACTCAGTGTTAATTCATATTAAAAACAGTGAAGAAATTGTGGTAGAGGGAAGCAACCTCAATATCATAAATTGTGTCTATTACAAACCCAATACTATGTGTGGAATATTATACTGTATGTTGAATATCATATTGTTTGTGGAAAAATTGGGAAAAAAATTAAAAAATAAGAATAATGTAGTAATAACTGTATTAGGTAAGATCCATCAATGAATGCTAAAGTTGGTTGGTGAAAAAGAAAGGTTTTGCTAATATCAAAGTAATTACCCCAAGACAGTTATTAAATACAATAGAAAAATAAGATAAAAAGAAAGAGAAATTTGTAATGGAGAAATCAACAGAAACCTCCTTGGTCATGAGACCATCACCAACAATAAGACATAGAATCATGGACCCTGAATATGATGCACTGTGAAGGATACATGTCAGTCCTGGCTTGTCCTAACAAAAATGCTAGTGTTCATTTAAGTCATAAAGAAACATCTGTCAAATCAAAAACTGGTGATCAACACTGTTTTTAGAATGTTGAGACCAAGAAAGACAGAAAATATTGAGGAACTGTCCTAGATAGGAGACATAGATAAATAAATAAAGCAGTAAGACAAGGTGGGATTCTGCATTGGGTTCTCAACTAGACCCAAAAGGGAAGAGTGGTGGAATTAAATTAAAACCTGTATCACATCACTTTATCATTCAGGTTTTGGTAATGGTATCATGGTTACTTAACACCTTAATGTTAAGATCTCTATTTAGGGACTAGCTGGGTAAAGATTAATAAGAATTCTCAGATCTATTTTGCAACCTTTAAATAAATTTGAATTCTGTTAAAAACACAAGTTTTAAAAGTCAACATTAGTCCCAGATTTCCAATGAAAAGTCTAGGTTGAGATGGTAAACCTATTAACCTTCTGGCCTACCCAAGTCGTTGCTTAGGTATCAGAGGTGGTGATGGAAGATGTAGCTGGAAATAGAATAATTTGAAATCTTTGATTAATAGTACCTTGAATGAAAAAATATAAAACTATATAGAATATAGGGTTTGGACACGAGTCTCCATGGCTACATTAGTCCATAAATGTACATATTGGCCTTGTTTTCTCACTAGTGAGTTGTGGATTTGCCCTGGGATGACAGTACTCAGCAGTGGAGACTCTCAAAGGTCAGAAGACATGAAGCTTCTATTAATGATATCAGAACAGATACCCAAGGGAAGTCATTTGGTTGGGGGAGAAACAGATGAGCAATAGCAGAACATTCAAGAGAGATTACCCATAGAGCTGATTTCCCACTCTGGAGAACACAATAAAATAGGAAAAAAAAATGTGATCCCAAGAGGCAGATGTCAATGAAAGATTTTCATGTTTTTTTTTTTTTTTTTTTACTTAAAATAACAGTAATTTCAGGCCTTATATTATATGTTAATGCTCATCCTCAATTCAAAGGTGGAATTCTTCAAGGCTTTGAAGAGATTTTCCACATAGAATTGCAAAGGCTCTAATCAATCTCCATTGAACTATTGGGAGAGATCATAGGTCTGCAATTCCTACCTTTTTTATAGTTGTACTATATAAATAGTGTTGAGAACATCTTTGGATCTCTAGTCAGTTTTCTTTAAAAACATTTCATGGGATATTGATTAAAAAAACATTTCTCCAATAATTTATAAAAATTATTACTATTATAAATAAATATATAATGATTTGTAGAACATTTATATATATTACATATAGGTATATTTTATGTATATATATGTAATATTTTATGTATAAAATAAAAATATGAAACTATATTGAATATTTCCCCTATGTGGCACAGAAATGTATGGGTCTGAATATATCACATATTATGTTATATATTTATTTAATCTTTCTGTAAGGCAAATAATTGTGCTTTTGAATGGGATATTTTTAGAGGAAATTTTTAGAAAAATGCTATTTTTAGAGAAATGCTATTTTTATAGAAAAATTTTATATTAAAAATATTACTAACACGCAGAAT